TATGTATCTATGCAAAAAAGGAATGAGGATTTTGTACAAGTACTTAGCATTAGGAGATCGATATTGGAATCAATAGATATTACACAACTAATTTGAAATAATTTTTGATATAAAAAAATTGGTTAGATATATTGTGTGTCAGATTAAACTTGCGACAGATTGAATCCAACACATGTCAGATGACTATCAGTTGACTAGCATTAAATAATCAGCAACAACTGGCCTAAACTAACTCTTAACTTTATTGTAATTTTACCCTAACTCTAATCTAATTTAGACCAGGTTTTATCTGATGCAACAATTAATCTGACACACAACAGATATACTAATATATATTGTATAACAATATTTTATTTTTAAATTTCGTTGGCTTATAGGATCTAAATGATTATACTGTATGTATTATTACGTAATACTTTTACCAACATTACAAAATTTTTACTAGCATTATCCCAGATCCTCTATCAGGATATTCTTGAATAAATACTGCATCAACTAAAAATTTAAGAGGCTGATAGCAGAATTTGGAAGACTCACATGAGTTAAGGCATTAACGATTAAAAGCTTTGTTTTTGAATGTATTTTTTCAATTCTTTCAACATTTACTTACTCTGGGTTTTCTATTAACATTTGGTTGTATTATCTAAATATAGAATTACTGGTAGTCAAAATTTCAAACGAAAACCTGCTATTTCAAAACTGCTACAGACAATTGTTTGTTCTTTGCAAAAAGAAAAAAAATTGGATAATTTGTATTTTAAAAAATATTGCGTCTAAATGTATGTACAAGTTCTTGTTTCTCTTTAGGGTGAAAATCTATGTTATTTTTATTGTATTACATGTGCTAAATTTTTTACTATATGTATCGAACCATTTTTTGGATACACTTTGTAATTTTATGTTCAAAACTTTTACAATATGAACATAATGAATATACTTCGATTATTAAAAAAAAATATAATAGAAAAAAAACTTCATATTTTTATAAGGTTTATTGCAATGTTTTTATATTAAGAGATATTATACATGTAATTTATAACTGTTGGTTTTATTTTTAAGTACAATTCGTTGATGATGTTGTTGTATAAAGGTTTTCATCATCCAAAACTTTATTTTTGATAGAAGGATTGCATCTTATCGATTTATTGTTTAATATACCTTTAACACGTGTTCTGTAAAAATTTCTTTTTATATTGTTTTTAAATTGGATATATTTTTTTTTTATCATTTGGGTTATTTTTGATGCTTTTTTTTAATAAAATTGTAAATATTTTCTAGGTTAATTATCTGATCATTATTGTAATCTATTTTTATCAATTCACAGATAATTTATTTATTTTGTTAGTTTCGGTCATATTTATATTTTCTTTTAGATAATTACAGTATTCATTTATGAGACTGTAGTATTGTGAAATGGTAGCATTGCTATATTTTATATTATACCTATTGGTATATATTTTTGATTAGCATTATTATATCTTCTTAATTATGCTTTTTATTTACAAAGTCTTGCCATGAAGTTTTTGTGTTATCAAACAATAGATTGATCAGATTTGTGTTAACCTCACTGTTTTTTTGAACACATTAATTATACAATCCTGATATAGTTTGACAAATTTGTTAGTATCTGATATATTCACGTTTATGTTAATCAGTTACTAGATTATGTATAATATGCTAATTATAAACATATAAGGCACATTGAGTTTTAGTATAGAGTAATCAGAAAAATTCATAATAATATTATTTTGTTTATTTCTGTTTCTATTGCTTTTAATGTCACTGTAATATCTTCAGTATACTTAATATTCAATTTCACACATATTTCTTTTAGAATTTCAGTTTTATTTTCTTTATTTGTTTTATTGTCAAAAACTAATTTATACAGATTTTTAATGTTTTCTAATAATGGAATATTCAAAGTTTCCGTCAACGATCCTATGTTAGGTTCGTATTTAGACAACAACTTTAAGAGCCATTTATTTTCTTTCTTCAACGACCTAATAATATGATCACAATACAGATTAATATCAAATGCCAATAACATCGTACCATAATCTCTGATGAACATCTCTCCTTTTTTTATTTAACTTACATCTCATGTTATTTCTGCCCAAGAATATTTGCATAACTTTAATTAACGCAATTAGGTATTAATTCCTTGAATAAATTTTTTGTTATTTTTCTGTACCTATAAACACTGATAACATACTCAAAAATTTAGTCATGTATAGTTTTGTCAAATAAGTCCATGTGGCTGTTGGCATTGTTTTTAACTACCAGTCTCGATTTAACTATAGGATCTTCTATGCATGTAGTAAATCACTGTTTAGCATTAAATATCATGCAGAATTTTTTTCCATTATTAAAATAAAGTTTTTTATATTATTTTTTCTCTATTCTGAATTATCTAAGAAATCATGATATTTATTCATATTGGCAGATTTTTGGAATTTACTATTAAAAATTTCAAAAATATTTAATAGTAAATAACTTTTGATCCACTGATCTGTTTTTGACAAAACAATTGCCAAAATTTTCATCTCAGTGAGACGATTCTAATGGATACAAAATTGCCAAACCCGAATCACAGGATTCTGATATCTTTGATTATTTGTTCCACTTCAGGTGTTTTAGGATTGGTTTAACCGATCCTAAAACACCTGAAGTGATGCAAATCTCTACCAATCTCGGGGTTCTGTAATTGGATTTTGACAATTCTGTGTCTATTAGAATCGTCTCAACGAGACGAACATTTTGGTAATTGTTTCATCGAAAACTGACTAGTGGATCAAAAGTTATTCACTTTAAATATTTTTGAAATTTTCAATAGTAAATTCCAAAAATCTGCCAATATGTATTTTTGTTAGCTTCCTTAAACTCATTTACCAATACAGTATTTAATCTTTAACTTTCGAGGTTCGTTATATATGTATTATCGATCGATTTACTTTTCCAAAAATCCATCACGGCATATTGTTTTGTTATCGAATTCCTAGTTTGTGTGAAAAAGAACAGCACTCCAAATATGTCTTATTATTAAGCTCAATCTTATTGATATAATTTAACAGTATCTTTAACTGTTTGATTTTATCTTTTATATTAAAACTTTCTAAATACCCAATCATTAATTCTTTTAATTGTTGTTCTTTCGATTTGGTATCTTTTATTTTTTTTAGTTCGTTTGAGAAATCTTTTGCTAAATATTCAAAAATTTTTTTCTTTTGATTTTGCTATTTACTTTTTTGATATAGGTGTATATTATTCTTAATTTTTATACATTGTCAAGTGATTCTATTTAGTAGATCATTGTAAATATTTTTTGCTAATTGTTCAAGTCTTTTATCGGGTGAATAGAATGTTTCTGTTAGTAAATTATTATACTCAGTTAAAGCTTCGAATTAATTTTTTATTTTAAATATCAGATCTTTTTTTCTATATGAACTAAGTGTATTTTTAGGTCTTGATATTTTGTTATCGATATCTCTATTATCTTCTAATAATCCAAATCTATATTTGTTGTCAATTTGCTTTTCGATATCTAGGTATATTTGTAATCTTTTTTTTGTGTTTATCTGTTTGTTTTTTATTGGCCAGTGCAAAAAGATAGATATCTCAAAATTTTAATTAAAAAGTACTACTAATAAAAGTTTTTAAATTATTAATAATATGGGCTAGGTGCTGAGAAAAGGGACCAAATTGACAAAACAAAAGATCTTCGGAAAATCAATTTTTATGTTGTAGATCTTATAATAAATCATAAGAAAATGCAAACTTTAAAGAGCAATATAGCAAAATTTTATTAATACAACTACTTTTGTGTCTTAAATAAGAAATGATCCTAATCTTATTCTAAATCAATTTATGTAAAAAAATAGCTTTTGAAAAAATTGTCAATTTGGTCCCTTTTTCCAGCACTTAGCCCATATAATTAATAATTTTTTACAAGTTGATTAATTATAGTTTAAACTATTTTTTTTTATTAATTATATTATTTTATAACTCTTATATAAAAATAGATGAGAGCTAACTTTTTAGATTAAAAAAAATTAGGGAAAAAATTTTTCTTAAAAAAATAGATTTTATTTAATATCTTAATTAAATTGAAAGTTTAGAGCTTGCTACTCTGCAAGTACCTAGATATAAATTCAATAAAACTATATTTAAAATTTCATAAAAAAATAATCACTAGATAAAATGTTATTAAATGTCAAAGTTGATGTATTTGTATTAAAAATCATTAATTTATTATATATACTATATATAACTTATTAATAAAATAAAGCTTAAAAGTTACTATTAATAAAATTTTTTATATTTTTTATAAAATAAATAATTTAATAATAAAATTATTTTTTTTATTATCTAAAAAACAAATTGAATTAAAAAAAATATAAGTTTAAAAATAAAAAATCTTTTTATTAATTGATTATGATAAAATTTTTTATTTTTAAATAAACTAAAATTTACTTAAAAAGTTTTTACTAATAAAATTTTTTATTTTTTAGATAAAAGAATTAAATAAACTATGTTAAACTCTTTCCTATCTTTCAAAAAATAATTTTGAATTAAAAAAATTTAAACTTTATTAATAAAAAAAATTTATTATTAATACTTATTTGAGGTATCAATCTTTTTGCACCGGCCTATAGGTAATAAATTTTTCAGATCTTCAAATTTTATATGATTGATTTTTTTGCAATATCTTCTAATTAGCTAACCCTAATCTAAAGACCTAACTTTAATTATAAAGTCTACTTCGCTTTAAACAAATCCATATTTGGATTTCTAATTTGTAAACACATTATGATTGGGCATCGTTATATTATAATTTTTACATGTTATTTATAGTATTATGAAGTTATAAACTAGTTAATGAAATTATAATTATTTAATTAAGCAAAAATTTTTTATTTCAAGATCAAAAAGTTTTGAATAAAACATATGGTCTGTCTAACTTCGTAATAAATCTAAACAGTTAGTTTAATACAATTATAAGATTACATTCTCATCAACTGGGCATCATTTTCAATATCATTACCAATTTGTAGAAATGGTTTATAATTAATGTTTTCATTCTGGGTAAAACGTTTGTAAAATTTTTGACGATCTTGTTTTTGCATTTTCAAAAAAAATTCGACGTTGCTTCTGCGTCGACAAGAGAATTGTAACTCACACTATTTGATAATAAAGCAACTAAAAGACAAAGTGAATTCCAGATCTTTCTTTCAGTTCTTTTACTAACCAATAGAGTAGAAGAGATGTGATGTGAAATCCACCCTCTTAAAATTTTTTGGGGTGGGTTATTGCCTAGAGGATTACTTTGTTCAAATTTTGATTTACTGGGTAAAGATTTTGACACACAAGGTGTTTTCTGAGTTGCAGCATAAAACAGATTGATATAATGTTGCTTTAAGCTAACGAAATGTTTCAACTTTTCAATTTTTATCGACCTTTTGAGATCATTATACTTGTTGTATTTGTTTCGCCAAGAGTCAAGGTCATTCTTAATCGAAGTTATATCACTATTTGTTGCTTTAAGGGTCACAGTTAATGTACTATCGCTGGTGGTTTCATCCGAATTGTCACTTGAATTATTAACTTTTTTTAAATTATTGGCAACTTCTTCCCATTTAACTATTAAATATAAAAATCACGTTGGTTTAAAATATAAATTGCATCAATTCAAAAATAAATTTAATTACCTTTTTTTATTAGTAATATTATTAAATCTTCTTCATTCGATTTTTGTTTTTGTGAAGTATCCATAGTTTGAATCGGCTTTAGAGCTTCATGGCCTTCAGAATATATATGCATTTTTAGCACGAATAATCAAATTATTTTAATTACTCTAATATTTACCAAATGTAGTCACAGCTTTTTTTTCCAAAGCTTAATTGGTTCTTTGAATTGATTTAAAAATTCACAATCTTGTAACTCGAATATTAAATTTAAATATTTTGATTTAGACTCATCATTTGGTGATTTTAAGATTTGATCACGGCCAAAAATAGTTTCTAGTATTGCATTGATAGAAGTCCATGCATTTTCCGGGTCGTCATCATTGACTTCATTCAAAATTTGGCTCAATAAGCTTGATTGCTTTAAATTTAAAGGAAAACAAATAAAAGGAACAAATAACTATGTAAGTTTAACCGAAATGAAACTTTGAATTTCTTATTCATTCTTTGCTTATGAAATTTTTTACTTTTGAATTATCATCTTTATATTTTCGTTCTAGTGCAATTTATAGAGTTAATCTTTGCAAAATATATGAGTTAACCTTTGTATTAAATAACCTAAAATATCTTTACTTTTTTTTTTAGAGCTTTCAATTCCGTGATCATTTTCTATTATGTTACATAAAATAAAGTAAAAACTTTGGTGCAAAACTAAAATATGAAATAAAACGAGTAATATACCATCAATACCCGATTCTTTTGTTTTTTTCAAATCGAAACTCTTTAAGGGGATGATTACAAAAAAAAATTAATTTACTTCAGCAAATTTTTTTCAAAAGCAGTATTACTAAAATATTTACTATTAATTTATCTTTCGTTTTACACTCAAAAACCTAATATAAAGAGTTAAAAAGTTTGTCAATAAATAAATAATTATCTTTCTTAAATGAAAATCCAATTTTATCTGACGAATTTCATTAATATCGAGTTCTGTTTTAACAATGTCATCTTGTTTTTTACTCCTTAATGTCTTACCACTAAAGTTCCTCGTTACAACAATTTTTCCATCATCATCAAAAGCAATATTTGTTAGCCTCCCTTCACAAGCATTTGTTAGTTTCAAAATCAATAATGAAAATTCTTCTGAGAGCACATTTCTATCTAAAGACATGTTTTTATATAATGTTGTGAATTGGTTTTTATATGTGCGAGTTAAATTACGTGAGACAAATTTAGGTTTTACGGACATTGGTTAAATTTTTATTTATATGTTAACTCAGTGATTGACAATCACATGATAAACACATTTACATAAGGAGTACTTTCTTGTGAGCTGGTCGTCAACTAATACTATACAATTTCATGAACCCTAGGATCTATCAACTCATACAATACAATTACACAGACCCTGGGATCCGTCATATGATTTCACAGACCCTAGGATCTGTTAACTCATAAGATACAATTTTACGGACCCTAGGATCCATCAACTCATAAGATACAATTTCATGGACCTTAGGATCCGTCAACTCATAAGATACAATTTAATGGACCCAAGTTCTATCAACTCATAAGATACAATTTCATGGACCCAAAGTTCCGTCAATTCATACGATACAATTTCACAGACAAATTCACTAAAAGTGAGGAATTTACACATAAAATATAATGCAATTATAAAGTAGAGGGAGGTATTCTGGTGGAGTCAAAATTCGCTTATAATAAAAAGTTGTCAGCTACATTTTTTTGTGGGTGATACTAGGTTGGCTATCTTCTACAGTATATAATGTGACGTGCAAATTACAAAACAGGTGACAGTTAGAGTCATGCGGACCAATTAAATCCAAGATTTTGTAGATTACTGTAACATCAATTTCGATCGCCATATAACCACTAGATAGCTGCGCGACGTCGTTGTGCAAAACCAGGAACGGAAAACTAGATAGTGCTTAAATTTAAATGAATAATATGATGATAAGAAATAGATAGCTTATTATTAATTCAATTAGCTGTATAAAAAAAGGCAATTCACCTAATCTTTGTCGTGTTTAGTAGTGATTATTTATTAAATATTAATAGAGTTTCAAACATTAAATTAAAAATCTACATCTCGCGAAGTAAACTTAGTATATATTTATATGAACAAATTAATGATTTTTATAGTAAATATCTTATAGAGTAATTAATATATTTTTATACTGAACACTGATAAATTTTAGTGAGCTCATTATTGAATAGTTAATTATCAAAAATTTTAATTAAATATGTAAGATATAATAATTTTTAATAAGTCATAGGTTACAAAATATTGTATGAACGCGAAATACTTATTTTTAAATAGGTAACTGCTGATTTGTCCGATGTATATTGTTACACACCATCCGGTTGGATGTTGTTTCATGATTCAAACCGGACACAGATTCAAAATTCGCCTGTCAACTCAATTTCTAATTCCTTATTATGCAAAAAAAAAGACTAACTTTTGCGTAGCCTTAAATATGAACATAATTCTATTAATTTATAGTAGATCTTTTTTTTTAAAAAAAAAAAAAAATCTAACCGACTCAATTTTCAGATTCCATGTAATGTAAAACGAAAAATTAACTTTGCATGGCCTAATCATGTTACAAAATTTAAATGTAGCCAGGCAAAAAAACCCGAAGTAATTTGAAGATTACTTAAAATACATTGTCAAGTTTTGTGTTTAAAAATATTCTTCACAAAAAATACATTATCTATAAAATTATCTATACGTATTAACCAATTTTTTTGCTAGGTCAAGGTTTTTCGGAAGCTATTAACATATAATCTCCTATGAAAAGCTAAATCAAATTATATAAGCCCTAATCATCAATAATTTAAAGACATCAGTTATTTGATGTAAATAATTTAAATCATTCATTTATTGTTCATATAGTTCATAATTGGCTGTTGAAACAAAGTATTTAAAAATATAAATTAATTTCTAAATTAATATTATCATTATAGATTAATAAAATAAAATTATTAAATACACACGTGAAATGCAATTATTATCGTCATCGAAAATTAAAAAATCGAATGTAGTAGAATCTAAAAAATTAAAATTAATTACAGGTTTGATTGGCTAAAATCAGAATATTATAATACTATAAATGTAATTGTTATACCATATTTTTGCAGGTGAAATAAATGAATAAATGATTGGATCAGAAAGGTTATCGAATTTAAGCAGTTTACTTGTAAATTTATCCTTAGGACAATTTGGAAACTCAGTTGTTAATGTTGGAATGATTCTATCTGCGTAATGGAATGTTTTTAATTGCTAGTTCATGCAATGCCATCATTTAATATAGAATACCATTTAATCAATTCATTAAAGATATCAGACGCAGATGGCCTACTAAAATGATTAGCATCCATACATTGATTTGCTAATTGGATATAACATTTAGGGGTGCCTTTTGCAAATTCTGGACGTAATCCTTCACATATTTGAATAGCCAATATTCCATCATACTCAACATCAAAATAGGGTGGTTTTCCTGTAGATATTTCGGTCATAATTATACCAAAACTATAAATATCTGCAGCCATTGTGTATGGTTGTTTGTTTAACACTTCCGGAGCAACATAAGGTAAAACGCCATAATTACTATTTTCTAAATTAGATTCATCTTTTTCTCTAGACAATCCTAAATCTGCGATGCGATGTAAGATATTAGGTCCCCATTAATATATCGATTTAGTAAAACATTACCGCTATGAAAATCTCCATGAACATAGTTTGCATTATGAATCTTGACTAAATTATTTGATATATTAACAAGCTGGCTTAATTTACTTTTCCAATTAAGTTCTTTAAAATTCGACGACAAAAAATTAAGAAGACTTCCTTGATTTGCGTATTGAAATACCATCAAATATTCATAATTTGTTGTGTTTTGAGTTATTCCATACACTTCAAGATTACTACTCATTAATCTACATCGCATATAATTTTTAAACTTATTAAATAAATGAATTTATAATACAATAATATAATATTAATAAGTTATTCATATTAGGCCGTAAAAAATCATTTAACTTACCTCTCTTAAAAAATTCTTTTGTGAACCAGGTAAAGTTTTAAGTGCAACTACACATGATGGTGTACATGATGACGTATCTTCACTTGAAACTATTCTTTTACCATCTAACCACCTTGCTGAAAATACTGATCCAAATCCACCTTCACCGATCTTTTGAACGTTATCCAATCTATTAAAAGGGATCCACTCGACAACACCTTCATATTTTGTAGCTCCAAGTTGAAATTCTTTAATGCAATCGTCGACATCTTTATTTCCACCCGTCCACCCTTGTATTGTTTTCTGAGGATCACATGTTTGACATCATGCTGGAGATGTGTTAGACATCATGCTGGAGATGTGTTACTTCGGCTACAATTTGCGCATATTCCCCACGAACTATTTCTTTCAAAATCAAAAACTAATGCATACTCATTTGTTGCAGTATCTTGGGTTAATCCATATACTTTAAGATTTCTATTCTTTGATAGTATGATTAAAGCTTCAAACTTATACAATGATAAATGAAATGTGTTTTTTAAATTAAATAAAGTTGTACGTCATAAATAACAGGAATAGCATAAAAAACCATCATTAAATTTTTTTCGTCAATTTAAAACAGGCGATGATTATGACCTTGATATATCTAGATTTAACTACTGTATTCTTTAATCATCATCTGTTTTAAGTACGTTGAGAAGGGTCAAATTGAACTGGAATTGGATAAATGCGGGTAATACGGGTTTCAAACTATACTAACCAATCCAAATCAACGCCAAACCCACTAAACTCTATCAAAACCCTAATGGTGGAAGGCACGAAAGAGGCGTGGAAGACTTGGTCCGAGTTATTAGGGTTAAATAGAGCTCTATACGATGTCACGAAGCTCTTATTCAAGGAATCACGGGTTTAGACTACTAGTTCTATGCGAATTACTTATTTAAACATTGAACTCTAATTGAGCTTCACTCTTCAACTCTCTCTAACTGACTGAGTTGTTCTTTATTTCAAATTGCCGCTTTTATACTTTTTACATTACTGCATCTTTGGGTAGTCTGACATATGAAGCTACCTTATTATGACATAATTTGGTACCAAATATAGTTGCTAGACGAAACCTTTTTTGCTTGCTGACGAAAGTCGAAACCTGAGCCCCAAATGACGAAACCTCTGCCGAAAGTCGAAACCTCAAATTCTTCTGACAAAAGTCGAAACCTCAAATCCTTCTGACGAAAGTCGAAACTCCAAACTTAGCTTGAC